GGCCCGTGATATCCTCTCTGGCGGCTCCCCATAGGGGTGCTGAAACCAGCGCCCCGACTGCGACATCCCCCAAATCTGCTGTAATCGCAGACGATGTTGGGCACCGAAACAGGCACACCGCCTGAGACATCCCCACAAAGTGGCCGCGAACGGGCCCGTGATATACCTCCTGGCGGCTCCCCTTAGGGGTGCTGGAGCCAGCTGCCCGCCTGAGACATCCTCAAAATCTTTTGTGCATTGGGGAGTTCAGACTATGAGAAGGTCTGGGTCTGTGTAGGTCTGAGTATGAGCAAGTCTGTGTATGAGTACGTTTGGGTATGAGTAAGTCTGAGTCTGAGTAAGTCTGTGTATGAGTAAGGCTGTGTATGTGTACGTCTGGGCATGAGTAAGTCTGAGTACGAGTAGGTCTGAGTATGAGTTCGCCTGACTATGAGTAAGTTTGTGTATGAGTAAGTCTGTGTATGAGTGAGTCTGGGTATGAGTAAGTATGTGTATGAGTACGTATTGGTATGAGTAAGTCTGAGTATGAGTAAGTCTGTGCATGAGTAAGTCTGTGTTCTGGGTGTGTTCTTGCTCTCTGGAGTCGGCGGCGTCCAAGAAATATCAGGAACCCCATCTTAGGATATGGGGAAAACTACTCCGGGTAGCCATCTCTGGCGAAGAAGGCCTTCAAACGTACTTTGCCAATGGTCGCCGACTTCCGATGTTCTCAATTTGAGTTTGCCTGGATTTCTGTCGCGCGCGCAATCGTCCGAATCGCGATTTGTCGCAATCCACAGGGGCTGGGGGGAGGAGGCGGAATGGGTCGTGGTCTCGGGCGGAGGAGGGCAGGGGCGCGTTGCGTTTTTTATGGTGGATTCCGGAACCGCGCGAACAGGTAATCGGGGCGGCGCCCTGCAGCACGCAACGATTTCGGTGCCAAGTCCGCGAGGGTGGCGCTGTCCAGGGCTTGCGCGCGGGTTGCGGCGATGCGTTCGTTGCGTTTTTTTATTGCCGCGCCCGCCTTTTCCGCTTCCTTTAGGCCAAGCCATGCGTCGCCAATGGGCAGCGCGGCCGAATGGATAGGGCATGGGGCCCAGCGCTGTGGGCGCGATCATTAAGCTTCAACTTTTGGCGGGCGGGGGGGGGGGGGGCGGGGTGGCGCGGGTCAAGATTTGCGCCCTGGGGCCTGGAGCGTCAGCGGTGCACAGTGTGGGGGGATAGGGCTTATGGGGTCGCGCGCGCGGCGAAGCACCCTTGGCGTCTGGCTCGACGGCCGCGCCTCGTGGCCGCGTGCTCAGGGCGTGAACCTGGGGAGCGCCGCGCAGGGCGTTGGGCGCAACGCCCAGAGCACGGCTTGACGAAGTAAGGCATTGACTTGCGGCGATCCATCACGTTGTCCTGGCCCGCGAGGGGCAATTGCGTTCGGCCGCCAGCCAGCGAGCGTCGCGCGCCGGCGGTTCGTGGCCCACGTTTCAGCATTGATTTGGAAATCTCTGTCAATGCTGGATTCTAAATGCCCTCTGCTAGCCTGGGACGATGGCTCGTGGGACAGTCGCTCGGGGCAACCATCTGTCGAGGGGGTCTCACGCTGGGCTGAATTATTCACTGCTCGACTGCGATGTTGATCCGAGGAGGGAGAGGGGGCACCATGCCGGGGAGGGTCGGGTCCAGAGTTGGGCTCGAGGGCCAGGGGTCCTCCTCGGAGTCGAACTCGACGGGGTCCAGTTGCTTGCCAAAACCTGCCCCGGCGTCGCTGGTGACCTCCTGGACCGTGGCCTCCCCATCCCTGGCAAGCTTCTTTGCTGGAAACCACTCGCGAACATTATTCTTTCTACGCTGCTTGGACAACTGTCTCGACAATCTACGCTCCTGCTTGGCACGGCTCCATTGCGAGCCTTCCACTTGCTGCCTTGCTGGACGGGGCACTAATGGGGGCTGGGGAGGCAAATCCAACAACCTGGTGTACAGCTGACTGCCCTCGGATACTAACTCGAGGCTGAGGCCAATGTGAGGCTTCCAAGGGACCTCGACGACGGCCCTGAGCCCCAAGATATATGGCCTGGCAGCCTGAGGGCAGAGGACAACATCTGAATGGGATGATATGCATTCTCTCGGTGCGCATGTGAACTCAGCTTCGCACGGTGGGATGATGTCTGACATTTTTCCTCAAAGCCAGAGGCGTTGAGTTTCTGCGGCGAAAGGTTCCAATCGCCGATGGCAAGCCATGGAAGCTGACGCGGTGCTAGCAAACTGCCGAGCTTGCGACATCTCAGAATATTGTCGGCTCTGTGGCCAACTCCTGATTGACCGTGCATGGCGCGCAATTTACGAGAAGCTTCTCATGTGCATAAGACACTGGAGAAACCCATCAAAAGCGGCGTTTCATTCGGCACGGAGCGCCGGCGAATTGCGCGCCACATCAAGATCTAAGTTGGGCGGTGATTTCGGACAAGCATCATCTCACCTCGTTTATTGGCTCTCTTTTCCTGACAAAGATGGGCCTTCTTCCACTTATTATTGGCGCGTGCATTGTTGGACAGGAGATTCAAGCCACGACTCCGAGCCTTGGCCTTTGTTTGCGCGTGGGATTTGACTGCCCGTGGGATTCGCAAAATGTCCTTTGACTGAACGTGGGATTTACCAATTGTATCATTATTTTGATTATGATTATGGCCCTGTTGGCAAAGGAACCTCCATGCCTTCTCGCCAAGGCACGTCGCGCTGCGAAAGAAAAGCCGCGAAGGCCGCGAAATGCACGAGGTAGTAGGAGTAGCCGAAACCGACGCCGCTGCGGTTGAGGAAGTGGCGGCACCAGTGCCTGATGGACTGCTGCCAGACACTTGCGACGAAACAGAAACCGCCGCCCCTCTCGAGACCTGCGCGGCCCCTAATCACAGGGACACAGGGAGCTACCATCCTCTTCCATTGGGGCCGCCGCGCCCTGGCCGCCGCCGCCCGAGGTCTCGACTGCCCAGGCGGCCTCGAATTTCGCCTTGCGGACGGCCGCCGCAGCTCTCTTGATCTCCGCCGCCTCCTTCCCCTGGTCCGACGATGCCGTCGCCGCCGCGGCCCCGGCCGCCGCGGCCGCCGATGCCGCCGCCGGGGCTGCCGCCGCAGGTGCACTACCTGCCGCCGCCGCCCCCGCCGCCGCATCCGACTGCCCGCTGCCCGCCGCCGAAGAAGGGGTTGCCTCGGGAGACTTCGCCACGGCCGCCCCGTCGCCGCCCTTTCTCTTCTTCTTCTTCATGCGTCCCATGACCGCCTTTTCGAGCTGGCCGACCTTGTCGCGGAAGTCATGAAGCTGGGCGGCTTGTGTCTCGAACGCCGTCTTGCATTTTTCCATTATGCTTTCATGACGCGAAGGCGATCCTTGTCTCTTTCCTCGCACTCCATCGTTTCGAACGGTTCCAAACTTGCCGTGTTGATGTGCAGCTCGAACGCAGGCTTGGGCCCCGACTCAGCAGCGACGACGCCCTCTGCCTTGGCCAGGGCTTCTGCTGCGCGCCGCTTGTCGATCTCCACCCTCGCGAGGTCTTCTGCCGCCTTCTATTCTTTGGCCTCCACCAACTGTAACTAATTCCTGCGGCGAAGCACCTGGGTGATTGTCTGCTCGCGGCGGTGCGATGCGGCCCTCCGGGCGCCGTCCGCTTTTTTGACCGCTTCCGCCTCGCCCAGTTCCTCTGCTTGCTGCCCGTGCCTTTTGGAGGAGGCGCCCCTGCTGCAGCGCCAGCGTCGAGCGCACGACCAGGTCGTCCGTCGCCTCCGCTGCTTGCTGAAGCAGGCTGTGCAGCTCCTCCTGCTGCGCCGCCTTGGTCATGTTGCCCCACCTGGGGCTGCGGCGTTTGGGGCTGTGCTGCCCGCCTTTTGTGCCGTACTGGTGCTCGCCTTCCGCGATTTCGACCTTCTCGGAGAAAGTGACGGACCAACTGGGCGACATCGGCACAAAAATACGGATCTTCTTATTGCAATTCGGACAGTTCGAACCACTCTGCTGCAAATTTTTATTGTAATCGCATGTCTTTCAATGGTCGCAACGGTTCCATGGCCTCGAGGGCCTCTCGCTGTTCTGGCTGCGAGGAACTCGCTGTGCTGCTGCTGTCATCCTTTCGTTAGCCTGACGAGTGATGGCAAGACTCGTGAGGCTATCCCTCAATCACCACTGGGAGGAATAGGGATCGGGCTCGCTGCAAAATGTTCGAGCCAACGTGGCTTGAGGGAAGGGGAGGAGGAAGAGGAGGAGGAGGAGGAGGAGCAGAAGGAGGAGGAGGAGGAAGAGGAGGAGGGGGAGGAGGAGGGGGAGGAGGAGGAGGCGGAGGAGGAGGAGGAGGGGGAGGAGGGGGAGGAGGGGGAGGAGGAGGAGGAGGAGGAGGAGGAGGAGGAGGAGGAGGAGGTTTGCCGTGTCCGTCGCGCTGCCGTTTTTGCCCCCAGTCGGGTGTCGCGTTCGCGTCCGTTTGGGTCCTGCTCTCTCCGGCTCTTCCCTTCCCTGCGCATGTTCCTTCTTTGTTTCCTTTTCCCCTTGCTGCTTCTCGTGTCCCTGCGCCTCTCCCGTGTCCCTCGGTTCCTGCTGGCTCTCCTCGCTTGCCCCTGCTCCGCTCGGTCTTTCGCTTTGGGTTTTTCCCTCATCCCTCCCTCCCTGGGTTCGCGCGCCCCGGCTCCCGTGGCCCACGGCTCGCGCGCACCCCTTTGCTTCCTGCCCGCCTTAGGTGGTCCTTCCTACCGCTCTGACGCGCCGCTCGAACGTCCCGCCCTTCTGCCGCGCAGGGTGCCGCCGAGGCAAAAAGAGGAGGAGGAGGAGGTCGAGGAGGAGGGGGTAAGGAGGAAGAAGAAGACGAGGAGGAGGAGGAGGAACATGGGGAGTAGGAGGAGGAGAAGGAGGAGGACTAACGCCACAGGGCAGACATAAGGTTGGTCTAACGTAAAAGGAGGAGGAGGAGGAGCAGGAGCAGGAGCAGGAGCAGGAGGAGGAATAGGAGGAGGAGCAGGAGGAGCAGGAGGGAGTGTTCCAACTGGGGGGCCAGGCGCTCGTGGTTACCGGGCACTCGCTGGGGGGGCAGTACGCTTTGGCTTTCATGCTCCAGATCTTCCTGGACCGGCGAGAGCGCCTACGGCAGCCAGACCTGCCCGCCGAGGAGCCGCAGAGGGCGCCGCCCCGGGGCCTCCATCTCTAGTCCTGGCAGAAGCCGGGTGTCGGAAGTCCTCGCATGTCGGAAGGAGGAGTCGCCATGGAGGAATAGTTTGCGACCGCGTGCGACCCCTACGGACGCACTCGCGGGATTCATTTGGCTGCGGACATGTTTGAAATTCTTGATGGCACCCTCCCCGTGAGCGCCGCGCGGCCCGCCCCGGCTTGTCTCGTGTCTCTCCTCTCGCTGTTCTCTCGTTGTCTCTCCTCTCCTTTCTTCGCGTGTGCCAGTTTGGCTCCTGCTCGTTAGCCGTAGCTTTGGACGGCGCGCGACCCTTTCTTTTGTGCTCGCGAACAAAAAAGTATCCCCACCAGCCCATCTGGAAACGATTACCAGCTGAGTCGGTGATTCTGGGACGCCTGGAAGTGGACATGTTTGAAATTCAGAGACCGGCATTTTGTTGTTCCTGCAATCGGACTTGCAAGGGGGTAAGGTTCACATGCCCTTGCCTAAAGAGGAGTCCTGGCAGAAACGGGTCCTGGAAATGTCTCGTTGTTTTCGGGCTCGGGTCCGTCAGCAAAACTACTCTGGATGTAACATCGGTTCTTGGGATCGTCCCCAAAGTCCAGATCCCGTCTCCTCTGGGACCTGCTTCCTTTTAGCGAAGCTCTTTGGATCGGTGGGAGGAGAAGCCACCAGCGGGTCGACCTCCTAGGGAGGTGGCCCGCGATGCCTCCCCTGGCCCCTGGCCCCGAGCTGGGATTCGGGGATGTCTCGAGCACAAAACAGGGGGACCACAACATCAGTTGGACCCTCCCGTACTCCTAGCGTTTGTGACAGTGGTGTCGGTCTCCTTTGCTCATAACCCGAAGTTCGTCTCGTGCCACGGGAGTTGCGACAAACTGTCCATGGCACGCGGTCGACGCGAGAACGGTCGAGAGCCCACTATAATGGTCCACGTCACTGTGTCGACGCGAACAAATTGGACCAGAACCGTCTGGAGGTTCGCCCTGAAACAGAACCGTCTGGAGGTTCGCCCTGGGCCCCAAGACCTGGGAATAGTACCCACGGCGCGACGTCCACACGGAAGAAATGATACAACAAAAACGTATTTTCGAAGCGTTGTCTAGGGCCCTGGGACCTGCGAAGACCAGCCCACGGCAAGAAGTCCATGCGAAAAAAGGGGCCGAGATTTTCGGAACACCCAGCTCTCGGGCGCCGAACAGGGTGGGAGTATCTAAAGGGGGGACAATCGACAGCTTTCGGTAAGTTAGTGTCGTGTCGACGCGGCGGCGACCCCAGCGCGGGCGATCAAGGTTGAACGCCGCCAGTGGCCCGGAATCGACCAGTACAAAGCAGGCTGCGCTATAGGACATTCACACTCGTTCAGGGTTGAACGATCCACGCGGTAGCATAAACCAGTGCGCAAGTCGTCACGACACGAACGTGCCGTAGTCCTTTTCATCATCGCTCACGCATCGGCGATCGCGGATTGAGTGGTACACCCTGCTCCAGAAAGCGTCCTGCGCTCGCTCTTTGGGGTGAGGGTGCGCTTTCGCCGACCCGGCGATGCACTGCCGACTCCGCGTCGACGTTTCCTCTCCCAAGTTCAGCCCCGAGAGCCCCTGGAGTCAGCATCGTCTCACCGATCCCCATCACCATTGGGCCATGGAATCTCAGCCCCACCAGGTCACCGTTCACGTGGGAATAGTTCCCGCGAAAATTGAAGGGAACCCAACCGCATGCATCGCCACTTGGGGGAGCAACTCGGCGGGGCCAAGGCCATGCAGCAATGCCAGTGGAGAGGGGATCGATCAAACGATACTCGTGGGGCCGCGAACATTGACAGATTCAAGGCGCCGCAGGTTCGGGGTCTTGGCCGCAAGCGGCCCCCTCAGACCCCCGATGTCAGGGCTCTATCGACACGGTTTCGGCCTATTGATTCCCTTCTTTTAAAAGAAATGTGACTCGACCCCCCCAAGATCATCGCTTCGCCCCTTTGTATTGCAAGTTACATATGCTGATGCCTCGTTGTTAATTTTCCATGCGGAATCAAGCCATCCCAGCCAGACTGGTATCGACGTGCCCTGCCACCGTTATCAAATAACACAATGCGCGCGCGCTCGTTTGTCAAAAACCAAACCCGTAAACTAAAAGGCAGTCCACAAACGCGCGTCGTCGCGCGCGCATGCCGGAATCTTCTAAACATTGCCGGCTTCGCAAGGAGTCGTCATCGAGTGTCCCGGGAACACAGAACATCATTGTGGATGTGCAGCATGGTGTTTCCAAAAAGTCTGCGCGGGCGCATTTGCGAATCGTTAAGAACACCATTGTTGTTCAACATATTCAGCATCTGCCACCAAACGAACTTCTCGCGCGCGCATGTCGAAATCATTCGAACACCCGAGCGCGCTGGAGCGGCCGCGCGCACATGTCGAAATCCCCCCGCAGCCTTCATCGCCGACGCGTGGGCAACATCATCGTCATGGGCGGGATGCATCGGCGTCGTCCTTGAGCTTGCCATCGTCATCGCATCGCCCTCGCCACCAGCATCGATCTATTATCATCATCGCGTCCGACGTTGTCGACGTCTCCATGATACCACGCCCGCCCAAATCACCGATTCGCACTGAAGTGCCAGCACGTCAGCGCGGCCTGCGAGATGCGTTTGGGAGTCCCCGGCGGTCAGCGCCTCCGCTGCCGCGTCGGTCGTGCCTGACTAGTTGGCCTTTTTGCGCGCGAACCTGCGCGCGCCAGCGTGGCTGCAACGATGCGGCAGCCAACGCCAAGGTGTCATTGGTTGCGGGTGACTGGGTGGGATGTTTGCGCGAGCAGTGGATTAAACTGGTCACCGCGAACAAATATTAATTCTCCTGTCTGCAAGAGTCTTAGAATACCCCCCCGGGTTAACAGTATACCTCGTTCGTATTTCAAGTTGCACAAACGTTTGCCCCATTGCCCATTGTAAGTATGAGCTCGTACCATCCCAGGCAGGACTGCCTGTACCAGTTCCCCATTTTTTCGCGCCTTCTGCAACAACAAAATAATCACTCTGCGCGCGCACTCGTTTACAACAAATCAGGAGTTTTCCAGAATCCGTTTCTGCAAAAGAGGCGGTGAAGTGCACGCGCGCGCCGTCGCGCGCGCATGGCGAAATCTATCACACAGAGGAATTTCCGCAAGGATTTCAAAATCGAGAGTCACGCAATCATTTTTAATGTAAACAAATCTTGGCTTCGCATCGAGAGGGCTTTGAAAACAAACAATGTTAACAATGCAAAGCGTCGCCCGCGCTCTTGCGAATTCTCTAGGCAAGCATCGCTTTTCTACGTGTTCATACAATGCTACCAAACGGGCCTCCTGGCGCGCGCATGTCGAAGACGTCCGAACGCCCGTGCGCGCGTGCTGTCGCAAAAAATCCTTGCAACACATGGGGCGAAGTGCGCGTGCGCGCATCGTCGCGCGCGCAAGCCGACATCTTTCGAAAACCGTCGTTGTCGCAAGGATGTCGATAACGAGTGCCCCGACACATGTCAAAACACATGGTTCGTGCAACGTTCGTTTTTAAGAACCAAAAAACTTGCGCTCGCGGTCGTGCGGATTCTTAAGGACAACATTTTTTCCCTGGCATTTTCGTCTCATTCTGCCAAGCGGGCCTCCGACGCCGCATGCCGAACTCAGTCGAACGTCCTTGCGCGAGTGCTGGGGGGGGGGGGGGGGGGGGGGGGGGGGGGGGGGGGGGGGGGGGCACGAACCGCGTCAAGAAAATTCCACGCGGGCCAGTCGCGCGCGTCGGCCGCGCGCGCATGTCGAACTCCTTCAAAACCTTCATCGCCGACGCAAGGACATCGTTATCGTTATCGGTTATCGGCGGGCGTGATCAACATCAGCGCCGTCTTTGGGCTTGCCGTCGTCATCACCTCACCGTCATCGCCATTTTCAGAACCGTGTCTACCGTCGACGGCGTCGCCATGATACCGTGCCCGCGTAAGTCATCGATTTGCATTGCAGTGGCGCGTTGTGAAGTGCCCAGCGGTCAGCGCCACCGCGGCCGCGTCGGTCGCGCCAAACTGGCTGGCCGTTGCGCGCGCGAGCGTGCGCGGGCTAGCGGGAGCGCAGACGTGCACAATTCATTTGTACGAAACAATTGCACCACATATTTTGCTCCAAAACATTTGCGCATCATGAATTGCGCCGCTTATTTTGCACCACGTACATTGCACCGCGTCGAACATTTTTTCCCAAACGGGGGTTCGGATCCATTACCTCCCCGAGGGCGGGACTCCACTCACATTGGTTACGTGAAATGTACATGCGATTTTGTCCCATTGGTCATTTCAAATATGAACTCATATCCTCCTCGCCAAACTGGTGTGGACTGGCTCCGTCATTCCTTGCAACAAAAAAACAGCTGCCGGCGGCGAGCCCCGCCGCCGCGCCAGCCAAGCATGCTCGGCGGCTCTCCTTCGAGTGAACACCGGGGGGGCGTGAGTAGTGGATGGTCGGTGGAATCTCGTAGGGGGCCTCTCGGGGGCCTCTTGTGGGCAGTTCTGAGGTCACGTAAGGGCCGTTTGGGGGCCTTTTGGGGGATTCCCTAGGGGCCTCTTAGGGCCTTTTGTGGGGTTCTGGGAAGCCTCTAGGGGGCGTCTTAGGGCTTCTTGGGCGCCGCCTGGGGTCCCTCTGGGGCGAAAGGCTCGGATGTTCTGTTCGTGCTCCTTTTCCTGGCCCTTTTTGCGGGCCGTTTTTGTTGTGTTTTTTGGGCCGTCGTGGGGCGTGTTTGGGCCGTGCTGGGGCTGTCTTGGTGGCCTCTTGGGCGTGTTTTGGGGTGGTTCGGGGGGCCTCTTGGGCTGTCTTGGAGCGTCCGAAAGCCGAAAAGGCGAGAACGCCAAACTCTGTCGAAAACGAACGGAAACCAATGATTTTTGTCTTCGGGGACCCTTTTGGGAAACCTCTTGGAGGCCTCTAGAGGCGCCTTGGAAGCTTCTTGCGCCATCTTGACGCCCTTC